CATTTTTGCAAGATAGCACCTTACCAGTCTTGTTCAAAAAATGCACCAGAAAATAGCTTATTAATCTCAGTGTCTAACTGGCAGATGGAATACACTGAAAACAAGGTTGTTTTTGTCTTTCAGTACTAGTAGTTTTTTCAAGATAAGATGAGCAGCCACCTTTCAAATCTCCCAAGACTTTGCCATTTTCATTTATTGATATGTTCAGTCTTAAATTCATCCATTCAATCACTCATTCTGTATTTATTGAGCATTTATTTCTTTTCTGTCTCACAGTTCTCAAAAGTCTTCGAATAGGGAAATGAATAAAACACATCTTTTTCTTCTTAAGAGTTCATGAGCTGTAATGTCTGGTGAGTGAGTGCAAGTAGATACAGAGAATAACAGATGAGGACACTGAACTCAGCCTTGGGAAATAGACAGTGGTCAACAGAGGCATTCTGGACAAGATGGATGAGGAGATAGGTAAGGGGACCACAGATCAACTGTAGTGGTTACCTAAGGGGAAAACCTGTTAGGAGGGATAGGATGAAAATAAATGTGCTAGAAAGATTGAGACACAGAAAAAAAAAAAAAGATTAGGGAGAACTCTATATCATATGGATATGCCCTGTGCTAGATAAAAGGACAAAAGAGAATTTGATGGGGCAAGATGGCAAGGCAGGGGGATAGCTGACAGAGGGTCAACATTTACATATTTAGGTTTATTATGTTTTTATACATTTACTGATATATTTTATTTTTATGACTCTAGTAACCAGTCTAGATGTGCAGGTTACATTAGGTATGATATCTAGCTCCCTTCAGTCAGGAAAGGACGTATGTACTAATCTGATAAAGGTTCCTTCTATCCTTTCCCGTTCTAAGTGTCATGTTCATTAGCATGACCGATGAAACCATAATTTGCATTCTCTCAATTCACACCAGCAGCAGCTAAATGAGGTGGCCACTAATTATAAGCAGAAATTGAAACTGAATACAGCAGATTTGCTGTTTTGTTTGGCAAAAGAAACAAGAATAGGCTTGTGTTGACCTATTGAAAGGGGCACATGACAGATATCTTGGGGGTGGGGGTGGCGTTCATCAGAGCATCTGGCCAGCTTTCTTTATTTCTTTTTTTGTCTTTACCTTCTCCAAAATATTTCTGGAAATTATCCAGTTAGGTTAGCTTGAAGCTCTGTGCATTCTGTGAGAACAAAGAATATTTTTTGGCAGCATAATGATGGTATAACACAGTACAAAGATATAGAACCATATTACCTACTTCTCATCTAAACTTTTCACAGTGTGGTCAGTATAAGTAGAGTATAGCTCAGTGACCTCTCTGAGCATCATCTACTTGTCTATAAAATAGAATAATAATATGTGCCTTGCAAGATTTTTCTGAGTATGAAGTAATAAATAAATTTAACCCCAGGGTTTGGCATATAATAGGAACTTATTAAACATCAAATATTATTGTTATTTCACCTCCACTGGCCCACATTTTTTACTAAGTTATTTGGGAACCCTCTTACAAATTTTGGGATGTATCACTCCCCAAGGATAAGGATTGTGTCTAACTCATCTTCACATGTATAGCATATGGTATACAGAAGGCTATTTCTTAGTATGTTGGCACGTCTACACAATTTAGACTAAAATTTTTCTCTTTCACATAAGTAATCTGTAATTCTCTCTGGCTTGGTTTTGTTCAGGAAAGGCTTAGGATACTGTCCAGGTTTTGAATACTATGGTTGTAATTTGAATTGCTGTAGAACTACCAGATCTACCGATCTAGCTATGGCCTTTGCCACTTCTCCCAAGGGAACATAGTCCAGCTGATTTTGCTCCAGGGGACATCAAGAACAACTCTCGTATATGCCAGCTCTCACTCAATCCATTTTCTCTTCCACTTAAGGATCTAGCTTATTAGGCGAATAATCAAGAGTAACTCAATAATTGTATAATCAAGTCTATTGTAAATTAATGTTTAAGTCATTTTAAACATTCTTGTGTCAACTATCATGAAGGCTATTATGTTTCATGGTAACTGGATTCTACTCCTTCAAAGAACTCTTTAAATTAAATTATTTGAATTCTTCAAAGTCAACACCTTTTATTTCTCAGCACTTCCTATCCACTTAATCACCTCTCACAATCTCTTCCATGAAAGTCTCTAGTCTCTTGGTTTCCATAACATCAGTATTACAAAGGTTGGCAGTTACTACCAGTCATCTCTTGCCAGTCCTCAATCTCTCTAATCGCCAAGCAACATTCAGTATGACAACTATTTTCTTCCACAAATGTCTGGCCCTTGGTTTTCTTAACACCAAGAACTACCCTGCCCTTCCAGCTATTTCTGACCCCAGTGATGCCATTTTTCTTCCACTTTGCCCAACGCTACTCTTGGAATCTCCCAAGGGTTTTCCCAGTGTCATCTTATTTTCTCTGGTTCTCTGTTCTTTGATGATACTCTCCATTTTTAGTACTTTAGCTATCACTTCCGTAAATATAACATGTGCATATTATCTCTTGAATGACTTCTCTATCCAACCATGACCCCATGTTTCTTATACTGCTGGATCATTTGGAAGATCATCTGGCAGCTCAGAATCAACATACCTAAAATATTTATTGTCTTTCCACTAAAACCAATACCTTATCATGATTTTTGTCAGTGGATATTTTATTTCTCTCAGTCTTAAGAAACTTTGAGTTGATTCTCTCTACCTTTTTTTAATCACCCTTTCTGTAAACTGTTCAGTGTTGCCTACACCTATCTTGGCACTGTCTTTGAATCCTTCCATTTTCTACTTCCTCTGAACCAACCGGATTGCCTGTCAATAGATATGTTGAAGAACATTGTATAAGAATCACAGTCTGGCAAAGGCAAGAGAAATGTAAAAGCAGTAATTACAATGCAATGAGATAGAACTGATAAAGGAGATGCCTACCAGGGGAGCAGAAAAGTCTTCTCATAGATGGTGACAGATGAGCCAAGTCCTGAAAAGATGAATAGGTGTCAGACTGGCAAAAGCAAAATGAATATTCTGGAAATAATAATGTATGCAAAAGAATACAGCCAAAGAAGACCATGACTCGTTGAAGTGCAAATAGCTCCCAATGTCTGGAACTCTGGCTTCATGGAAGAATCATATGGGGTAAAGGCAGAAAGAGGCAAAGCTCCCAAAGGTAGTTGAAACAGAGGAGAAGATTTAGAACACCGTTTCAGTTACCTGTTGCTGTATAACTATTGTAAAACTCTATTCCATAAAATAACAATTATGCTTTCTTAAAATCCTCCAACTGAGCAGCAGTCTCTGGGGATGGTTCATCTCTGTGGCCTGTAGCACAGGATGGCTTGACTTGACTGGAGCAGGAAGATCCCTGATCCTCATTCCTAATGTTCTTTACATCAACTGAGGCAGCCATACTAACTGGGCTTCTCTTTATATTTCCCTGTGGTCTCTCAGTCTTCAATAGTTACTCAGACTTCTTTACTTGGAAGCTAATTCCAAAGAAGGGAAAACATGGAAACTGCAGAGCTTCTTAATTCTTAGGCTTAGAAGTCACATGGCATTCTTCCCTTATGCTCTATTGTCAAAGCAAGTCATAAGACCCATTTGGTTTCCCAAAAAGGAGAAATTTTGGAAGGAGCAGCATGAATACAAAGGGCAGTTGGCAGCTGTCTTTGCAGATCGTGTACGATAGGCCCTGTGGAACACTGCATTCTATAGAGAATTGTAGGATTTAAAGCTGAAGACGGGTATTTGAAATATGTTTAAAACCATGTCTTTAACCCATTTATGGAATTTGAATTTAGGGGTCAAGGGCCAGTACCTGGAAATAAATTCGCCTCAGAAAAGTGTCCTCCAAGGTCCATGGACCTTGCCATAATTTTTACTCTCTATGGAAGCAAATGGAATGAACAAAGTATGATTGATGCTTTTCTGTTTTAAATCAAAATAAAATCAAAGTACTGCTCAGGACTCTGTGTTCTTCCTCCCAGAAAAAATGGATTTATATCCTCCATGAGGGAAAAAATTTAAAAACCACCGATCTTCTGCCTAAGGCCATTTTGTTTAGAAATACTAGTGCTTGCTTATTTTATATTTCTGTTTGTACAAATACACCAGGAAAGTCAGATGAAACATTCAGTGAGGACAGAAGTCTGCTTTGTATTTCCAGGGAGTTTTCTTCTGTTGAAGAATGCATGTGTATGTCATCAGAAAACTTGGGTGGGCATTTCATTTCCATGCAAAGTGAACACTTTGACTGTTGCCTGTCATCTCCACTATAGTGGTCCACAGGGGCAGAGCCTATGAAAAAGGCACAGAAAATATTTGCATAATTTGAAAGGTTTTATTATACCACTATGGTGTTGAATTTCCTTCAGGAATAACAGTTTTAATAGAAAGGCAATTGTGATGTGAGCAGAGAGGAGCAGAGGCCTACTGTGTGTTAAAGATTCCTAGAGAAAATTAAGATCCAAAGTTTACGAATGAACTGGAGATGGTCCTTCTGGAATTTTAGGGATTCATATAGCTGTTTCACCTAAGTGTTCTGGATCCAGAACCTTGATCTATAAAGGAAAATGGTGTATGAATCTGAGGATGGAGCTGGACTGCGTTCACTCCTGGTCAATGTTGAGGTTCTTTCTCAGTGTCACTAAACACTATGGAGGGCATCAAAATATGATGTTCATTTTTCTCTATAGTCGCCAGAGTGCAGTGGCTAGAATCTAGATTCCTGTGAGGAGATTTGATCTCATATCTGATTTTGCCATTTCCTGTTTGCATGACTATGAACAAATTCGTTAGTCGATTTAAGCTTTGGTTTCCACTGCTATAAAATCTCAATGATAATTGTACCTTCCTCATAGGATTGGTGTCAAGGATTAAAAGAATTAAGATTTATTGTCCTTAACCCAGTTCATGGTATGAATAACCAATAAATTTTAACTGCTATTAACAGCAACAAACTTCTTGCTGATTTTGCTGTGTTTATCTCTTTCTCAGGGAGATGTTAATCTCTGTGGCTCTGGGTCAAGTGTTATCTCTTCTTGTTTGTGGAATTGGCCTGACCAGCAAGTACCTGTCAGAAGATTTCCATGCTAATACACCAGTCTTCCAGAGTTTCCTCAATTACATCCTTCTCTTCTTGGTCTATACCACCACCCTAGCTGTCAGACAAGGTAAGCTCCCTATATCTCCAGGAATATACTTTTGCATCTACCTAGAAGAATGTGAGCCATGGCTGAATAACTTTTAGTCACCTAAGGCATCAATAAGACAATTCAAAAACTCTAAATCTCACTTTTCTATTTTGCAGTAATACTGCAAGCAAAATGAATGAATAAATCACAAAGAAGCATAGTTTGTGTGAATTCAGCAAGAAGTAGCAAATGCAGTATAGGCAGAAATGTTTAGTTGCTCACTATTTGAATTCCTGTTAACATTCCTTATGCTTTAGTGTTTCTCTAGAATCAGAATCAGGCCCCACTCAGATTCCCTAAATAATGCTAATCCTGAGATAGACAAGAGCAGTTCAGACAAATAAATGTTCTTTGGGAAAGTGACATAAGAAAGATATAAATAGTAAACACAAACAACTCTAGTAATAACACAGGGGAGGATAAAGAAGAGAAAGCTACCACGAATGGTCAGGCAAGTTGGTAAATTATTTTACACTAAAAATAATTAAAGTAATAAAACAAGTCTTCTAAGAATCAATGCAAGAAAAAATGTTTTTTTAAGGAAACCATTGCAAGAAAAAAAGAGCAGTTGAATTGAAAATCCTGAAGTATGTCCTCCCCCAAATAATAACCATTAACTATTAAATATGCATAGAAAAATAATCATTAATAGGTTTAAAAATAATTAAATACATTAGGACACATGTATAACTGTATACATCAGTTCTAATAGTGTTTCTGAAACTTTTGTAGAAACTATTTTTCAGTATTTAATTTCTACATTTATTTGGATTTTTATCTATAATAATATTGCTTAGTTATAATTTTTTGGCCAGTACTTGGTTTTATCTTAGAGAAAGAATAATAATGAACAAGCTGATACTGAATTAATTTTGGATTTGTTTGAAGTATTAGAGAAGCTAATTTCACTTGCTTCTCAAAAATTAGTGCTTTCAGTGTTTGTTTTTTAAAAATTTACCATCAGTAGACATAATTAGCTTAAGAACAAAGTGTCAGCTAAAACCTCAGCTTACCAAAGTTATAGACATTGAATCTCAGCTGTTTCCTCAGCATGTGGAAGCTAATAATTTTGAATGTTACAAATGCAATGTCTAACAGTTATCCCTGCTGTTTTGCAAGTGGTGCTTCAAATCAGGAAAGGGCTCCAGTAAGTAAGGATATGGGGGAGGCATATAATTAGCAATGCATGTCTGAGAGACTGTGGGAATGTGTAACTTGGCCATATCAAGATGAGAGGACTAAGAGCTAAGAGTTGAATGTTAAAATCACTTGATGCAAACTTGAATCAATATTAAAAGAATCTACTAATTATTTAGCCCATTGCAAGGAGTATAATTTAGAAGAATAAGACTAAATGAAGAACAATTTTGCAATACTCTAATATTGAAAAAGGAAATTTCCATGAGAGTGGTGAACGCATCTTCTTTAATGATTTGAGAACTAAACAGTAGGGACTATCAGAGGTGGTGATGGTAGCTTTGGGTTCTCATCCATCTTACCTTTCAGGAGCCCAGAGACTTAACAAGAACCTGCTCTAGGGGAAAAAAAAAATTAATCATTCTAAAAACCAGAAAGAATATATTCAGCAGTTACAGGTAGAAACCAGAAGACATTAGAAAACTAAATGTAGGAAAAAAAAAACCCAAAGTTATATTATCATAATCTACATAATGTGCTAGCCACTCTGTGTGGGTAATCCCTTTTTATTCTTTCAGTATGAGAAATAAGTATTATTATCCAAAATTTTACAAATGAGAAAGCCAAAGCTTTGATGCCACAGGATTCTGCTCAAGCATATGGTTTAGGAAGTAGTAGAGGCACATCGTGGGCCTGGCTTGTGAAGCTGTGGGACTGCAGGGCCCACGCTGCCTCCCCATGTGAGGTTCAGGGGAGGACGCAGGAGATATGGGAGATTTTTCTGAACAAAGATAGAGGTGAGTTTGTTCCTTCGTTTGTTTGTTTGCTGAATTTCAAAACCTTTGAACAAGAAACCAGCCCTGGGGTGTAAGATCTAGTGAGACACAGCAGTGAAGCCAGGAGGAAGTCATAGATCATATGGGGAAAGGGTTGGCTCAAATAGGAAGAGGGACAAATGGAAAGAGACCAAAGACTTGGGGCATCTAGGTGCCTGGAGGCTCTTTGGAAAGGAAGGCTGAAGAGGACCTAGGGAAATTCTGGCTGAAATTCCTCAGGATGGAAATCAATTTCTAGAATGCCCTCTCTGGAGATTTTTACTATTGCCTCATTATCACTAAATTTGCTGGTATGTCTTTATTTGTGTGTTTACTTGGAGTGTTTACTTGTTTTAAGCTTCATCTTTAGAGTTTTAATAGGCTGGCATTAAGCTAACATCTGGAAATCAACAGAGTAATTACATTAATTTTGTCTAGGCTGATTCAGTGCTATGTTCTAGAGACATAACATCTTTTCATTAAGGCACCTCAAGATTTGGGAAGGAATGAAACACAGAGAAGAGGCCAGGAAGTCCTGTGTGTATGAGAGAGGATCTCTCATAGTCAGTTTCTCCTCTTTTCCCAGTGTTGCTCAAGGGCTGAGGGTTAAGTCTGAGCAAGGTGCTGGTCTTTCTAGCTTTCCAAGCACATACCAGCTTCTCTGCTGGGCCCCCATAGCAGCTTGATAAGACCTTAGGCCCATAACAGCTGGAAGTTAGACTTATGAATATGTTTTTTTAAACAAATCTTCTATCATGTTAATCATACAGCTTCTAAAAATGTGTGATTATCACATTTGAACACAATGTAGTAAATGCAGGAAGTTCTTCAAGAGCAGTAGGGTAATGTTACTATGAAAACCCTGCCACAGATTGACTTCAACGTTAAGCTGAATTGTCCCCATCATTTTTGCTGGGGACCAATGGTGAAATGACAGAGGCAACAGCTTCCAGTATGAGTTCTGGTATGAAGTTGAGTTTTGAACTTACTCTTGACTATTAATTAATTCTTACAGAAATTTGGGTACTATCCCTTCTTCAAAAAAAAACTCTATTGAGTAAATTTTAAGTCTAGCCTTATTCGTAATTGGAATTAGGGTTTCTTTCAGAAGGTTCTGAAAAAAATTTTTTAAAAAGCTTACTATATATAATGAAGACCTTTAAAATATAACTCTGTAGAAAGAACTATACTTCAAAAATGTAGTTCCACTGACAGTGTGTATAGTTTGAGAATTTCGGTAAAATTTAGATTACTTGTACTTTAATAGCTTGATTGTAACCATACTGGGAAATTATTTGGGAAATGAAAATGAATCTTTAAAGAAATGTCAGAAATTCAGATAATTCATGCAGTATATCCAAAATAGGGCTCAGGATTATGATTTTAAAAGTATAGTAGGTTTCCAAAAACTCCTATGATAAAAATTCAAGTGTTTTTTAGAACTCAATTTCAGCAGTTCTTCAGTAAAATATATAGTCAATAATTCAACTTCCTTTTCTTCTACTATCATTTTTCTATGTCTTTGTCTCTAATTTAAGGAGGTAAAAGGCAGGAAGCCAAGGGTAAAAAGAAAACACTTTCTGGCCTTGTTCTCTTCCTCAAGTCATAGTGGCAGGGAGAAAAATGAATATGAGGAGTGAATAGAATCAGAAGTGTCTGCCACTTTTTAATGTGCACACCCTGGAAATGAAATAAAATGTTGCCACCATTGAACATCATTAGAGTACTAACGATCTCAATATTTCAGGTTCTATAAGTTTTGCTTTTTCATTGAAAGGTATTTTTATAAGTCCTCCCAATTTTGAATACAAACAAACTGCCAGTTAAAAGCAATTTGACGAGCACTGCATGTATCTTGCTTTCCAGTAAATTCTTGAAACATAAACATTATTCAATCTATTTATTCAATCATTTATATATTTTTCTGTCAGTATAAAAATGAAATGAGTCTTTAATAGTACCAATAGAGCACTCATAAAAATATCACCATATAGAATCTTTTTTTTTCCCCAAAGAAAGAATGCCAAAAAGTGAACTTTATGTGATGTCGCCCACTGCCCGCACAGGCAATAGAAATGTGGTTCCCCTCAGTGGAATGGGCTGGCTGAGAAAAGCTAAAAAAAAAAAAAGAAGAAGAAAGAAGAAGAAAGAAGAAAGAAGAAAGAAGAAAGAAGAAGAAGAAGAAGAAGAAGAAGAAGAAGAATGTTGGAAAAACCACAGAACACAAAAAGTAGTTTCAAAAGTGGGGGCAGGATGAGCTAGCCAATCAGACAGATGGAGCTTCTATACTCTAGCAAAATGGAGCCCACGCTTGCTTTATTTATATCAGGGGACATCAAATACAGGGATAAGGTTTCAAGGGCAGAGTCTTGCTTCCTGGTATCTTGCAGTCAACAGGTTGATTGACATCTTGACAGGCTACACCCATCTCAGGTGCTGTGTGGGATCTCTGTGAAGGGGAAGTTCACCTGCATTAGGTGATCAGTCCTTGTGGGGGTGCCATAGGAGGTTCCCAATGCCAGACTTATCCCCTCATTAGGCTGCTATGCACCACATAGTTCTCACACACAACCTACAGAAGGCTCGTGACGATGTGAGAAATGTTTTTGTTTTGAATATTACATTTTAGAAGGTAGGAACCCTAGAGGTCTAAGTCCCAATTTCAGTTCTAAGAGACTGGAGAAATGAGGTCAGTTGGGTATTGCAAGTATTCACTCTCTCCCAGAACCATCTACCCACCATATTTCATTCTCCACCTGGACCGCTCAAGTGGGGTAAAAGAAATAAGAGATATATATGAACCTGACAGCTTTATCTACACGTGACAGCTGAATGCAACTCTTAACCAATGGTCTGGTCCTTAGCAATTAAAATAAATATTCATCTCATAACTTGTGCCAAAAGAAAAAAAATTGGGGGGGGGGTTGTTTTGTTTGTTTGGAGTTTTTGTAGGGTGATGGGGATGATAGCTTGGGTAAGCACTGACCAGAAAGCAATTTTTGCCTCTTCCAACCCAGGACAGGAGGG